CCACCCAATCCACTGTGCACCGGCCCCTTACGGATCCAGGTGGTGGGCCCACGGGGGGATGTCCCCACATCGCTCGTTCAGGCTAAGCCCGGCCAGGCCCCGTGAAGGGAGACCCAGCCACCAGGCGCTCGCATTCGAGCCCCAACCCCTGGCCTGGCTCCAGGGTGGGGCCCCGGCTGTGCCATGCCGGGCGACGTCACGGTCCTTGATTTTAATCTATTCATAAAGGGCTTTTGAACCCGCTCTTAGTCTGACCCGTCACCCAGGACCTGTTTGCCTTGGGAGACTCTACCAGGGACATATAGCCCCCGACAACATAGCTCCTAGGATCACTCGGGTACTCAAACCCCTCCACCACAATCAGGTGGCGGTTCAAGGAGGGGCCTGTCTATCCAAATGCAAAATACACCTACCTATCTGCCTATCTACCTACTTACCTATCTATCTATCAGCCCCGTCTATAGTCAGTTCAGTCTGTTCATCAGGTAAAGAGGTGTCAGCCATCTAACCTCCTTAAAGAGGCCAAGGTTTTCAGAGGTGAGATTTGATAACAGATATGAAATAATGATGTTTTTATTTTTAAGTCACCACTTTTAACTGTATTTGTAATGTTTTAATTTAATATTTTTGCACCTTGTGTTTGTTTTACATTAATTTTATTTTCTATATTAAATGTTATACGTTTTATTTAGTTTAGCGTCCGCTTGAACAGGAAGTGCTTCTTCTTCGTCTGTTTATACACTGTGGAACTTGTTTGTCGCGTTGCAAATCCACGAAGTTCTTAAATGTGGTAAGTTGTGTTCATTTTAAAGAAGCATTTTGAATATGTTTAGCTGTGTCACTGCATCAAAGTCTATCAAATACTTCAAAGGTGAGTAACTAGCTAAGTAACTGGCAATTTAGCTGGCTAGCGTCTTTAACCAACAGAGGCTAATGCTAACATTAGCTGGTTGCTGATGAATGAATAAGGTCAGGTGTCAGTTGTGGGTTATTTTAGTTTCACTCAGTTCCCTTAACGCTAACGACAGCAACTTCACATGTGTTCGGAGGTTGTGGCTTGGTTAACGTTAGCTGCTCCTCGGGCCTGTTGCTATTTTTAACAGGTCAGTTTATTCATTACAAGTTAACGATAGCTAATGTTCCTTTGAGTCAAAGCCAGACAGAGTTAGCAGGATGTTGACCTATTTCAACAAAAACCACTGTAGCTGTAATCTGTCTTTTAGAAGAGGCAGGTTTATTCGAAATACATATTTTCACAAACAAACCATTCAACCACCAGTGCGTGTAACTTATCATTCCATTATTTGGCTTAACCTGAAAAACAGATAAACGAATTTCGTTTGTTGTAGGTGAAAAAAAAGGAACATTGCTGCACGTTTCTTCTGTTTTCATAGTAAAACGTGAAATCAAATAAACGATAAAACCAAACGCAATGAAAGTCTTAATCAGTTTTTCTGTGGATTTCTGACTTTGCCGTGTGCGTGCGCAGACAGTGGCCGCTGGGTGCGCGACACATTTCTATGAATTCTCATGGGAAACGGTGTTTATGGCAGATAGTAACTGTCAGCTCAGCAGTGATGACAGGTGGTCTGTATTGTGTGTATTTTCCACACGGTAGCCTACATGTTCACGTCATACAGCGCCATCTAGTGGCTATCCGTCCTCGAAGCAGCTTCAGTGTCTGATCTGTTTTTGATTTTTAAGTCCATCATCACATCACCAAAATGAGCCCAGCACTGCTTATCCTCACCTTGATCAGAGGAGCAGGAGGCCACACAGGCAGCAGGGAATAATTGTGTCTGTGTGGGGATTATTTTTTAGGAAGTGTCTTGTGAATAAATATGCAAGTTATTAAATACATATTTTTGCACAGAGACATTACATAGAGGCTACATAGGCCTACAGTGCAAGGTAAAACTCCCACCCCAATAATAATGAGCCCAGTAATGTAGCCGTTTAAAGTTTAAACATTAGCCTAACATTAATAATAAGGTCATCTGTGTGAATATTACACATAATGAGATCACTGAACTGACAGTTAGGAATCTGCCACAAACACTAATTCCCATGAAATTCAATTAAATGTCTGGTAGTTTTACATTTTGTTACTCTGTGGAAGTGGGAGCAGCTGTTACAGTCTGCACCTGCATCGTTTTTTGGTTTTGGTTTTCTTGTGTATTTGATTTCCTGCTCTTCTATGAAAACAAGAAATACAGTTATTTTACATATTATTAATAACTAGGCTAACCTTCACTGTTAGTTCATATTTCATGCTTGCAACAGCTTAAAAATAAATGAAACTCCACACCATTTATCTCTCTTCTCATTTGCAGGTTAAATCAAATAATCAAATCATCAGATAATACATGGGCCCAAAATGTTCCATTTAAAACATAAAACTGCTCCTTTGCACAATGTTGTGTTGTTTTTAGATGCTGTTCTTCTGGTGTGGCTTCACACATCCAGGGTGATTTGCAGTTTCAGGCTAAAGTAATCTTGTTAATTCTCATTAAGTTAATTGGAATTCTTTCTAACCTAAATTCTTTTCCTCTCTCAGAGTGTCTCACCGTCTGTGTTTCTGCTGGCTGGCTGAACACAGAGCGATGGCCGACCCTGAGCTCTTATTGGACTCCAGTATTCGGCTGTGGGTGGTCCTGCCTATTGTCTTCATCACTTTCTTCGTCGGGATCATCCGTCACTATGTCACCCAGCTGCTCCACAGCGACAAGAAGGTCGACTTGGAGCAGGTTTCTGACAGGTGAGAGGACGTTTTATATTGGCGGGTCTATGCTTTCACTTTTTTTTTTAAAGTTAAAAATATAGTAATGCTGTTCATCTGACTTGTCTCTCCTGCACTAGCTCTCCCACAGCACGTTGGCTGCTGCCCTCTGCTTCAGCAGCACTGGTTAAAACCAATAAATATTTGAAACAAATCAGTTGCATCACTAATCACATTGATCGGACTGATCAGCTTTCCCATGTGTTTTTCAATATTCCACTGGACTTAGGGGGCAAACATTCAGCGTCAGAGTTTAAGAACTGGCATTAACCTTATCCACTTGCAGAGCAGTCCGTATATACTATGTATAGCATGCTGGGCTCGGCAACAGCTGTATTCTAATGTTAGCTTAGCTAGCCTTACTAGCTTGCTAATACCATATTAGAAGAGTTGATCACCATGAGAGGAGGAGCTGTTCACATCATGGTGGTTGTGTGTGAGAGAGAAATAGAGCGGTGCACGGAGGGACTGAGAGAATACATGCACTACACTGAAATAAGATTTAACCTATTTTAAATCAATATGTGGTGGTCAGTGTTGATATTGTGGTGGCCCGTCATGAATAAAATGGTGTATGGGAAACACTGATTTGTCTGTAGAATGATTAGCAGGTTAATCGTTAGCTGCATACAACCGCCAGCTGACTGTAAATGTATTTCAGATTAGTGAATGTATTTTTGACCTTCAAGGTTGGGCCTATTTTCCATTTTCATTCCTTCACAGTATTACAATCAACAAGCAAACACCTGTATACCTTCTCAGTGAACATTAGTGTGTGTGTGGTGATGCAGTCAGTCAGTATTGCAGTGGCACTGTTACTCACCCAAGGTTGTTTTGGTGCGTCTTTACAGCCAGGTGCTCCTGCGCAGCCGTCATCTCAGAGAGAATGGGAAATACATTCCCCGACAGGTAAACGCACCTGGTCATGTTCATGTGAATTTTAACCTGACTTCAGTGATGGAAAGTAACTCAGTCTAGTCTAGAAGGACTATAAACACTGAGCAGTTCATTAATATACTGAGGAGCCAACACATTCATTGCTATATAGACAGCAAAAAGCTTTTATAATTAATCCTGTAGGAAGCCAGTGGTGGGATTTAAGGACTGGGAGATGTGATCATATTTACAGGTTCCTGTAAGTATTCTGGCCCTGGCAGTTTGAATGGGCTATAGTCTAGACGTCATTTGTTTTGGTAGTTTTGCAAAAAGGGCCTTACAGTAGTCCAGTCTACTAGAAATGAAAACATGGACTACCTTTTCAGAGTCAGCTAGAAACAAAAAACCTCTGGTTTTTGATATGTTCATCAGATGATAAAAAGCCACCCTGGTTAGATTACTGATGACGTTTATCAAAGTTGAGATCAGCATTCAGTATACTTCCAAGGTTCTTAACTTGCTCCCTGTACTTCAGTGACTGACTGACTTTGTAAGAACAGATAATCTGTCACTGTTTATGAGGACCAACAACTAGTATTTCAATTCTTTTCACTTAACTGAAGAAAGTTGTCTGACATCCAGCTTTTGATAGGCGTGATGCAGTTTACTAAGTTGCTTATAGGACCCGTCTCATCAGGGGATAAAGAGAGACACAATTGTGTGTCATCCACATATGAATGATAGCGTATGTTTTGCTATAAGTCGACTCAAAGGCAGTATATATAAATTAAACAGTAATGGCCCCAGTATTGACCCTTGCAGAGCCCCTGAAGAGATTTTTGTTTCAGCAGTTCTAAAACTATTTGAAACACTTTATAAGGGCACTCTTCTTCTGTCATATCTCCTAACCCTGAGAGTCCTTCACATGTAGCACACATCCCTGAAAATGTCCTCCACGTGTTACACACAAGTTACTGCAGCACATACTGGATATTTTTTTCCCCCACTACAGTCGTTCACCATGAGGAAACATTACTTCAACAACACAGAGACTGGCTTCTTCAAGAAGGTGAAGAGAAAGGTCGTCCCCAAGAATCCCATGACAGGTAGGGCTGTGTGTAGGTGGGCTAACATGTGCAGGTCTTCTTATGTCATACCTGTGTGTAACTGTGTGTTTGTTGTAGACACCAGCATGTTGACAGATATGATGAAGGGCAACCTGACCAATGTCCTGCCCATGATTCTGATTGGTGGATGGATCAACTGGGCTTTCTCTGGGTTCGTCATAAGTGAGTTCTCAGCTGTCAGTTATGACACCGTCATACACGGTGCATTTTCTCACCAATAAAATCTGTTGGAGTAACGCATTAACTGTCAAACTGCCTTTTACTGTTTACTCTATAATTGTTACTTTTTTTTAATTAATTACGCCATTGGCCCACTATTTAAACGGGTGAAGGTTTTGTACTGTGATACGTCTTCATGTCTGAAACGTTTGTCATTGAAGATGCTCACATGTTGACGCCTGGATATGTTAACATGGCCAACAAACTGCGACGCTGCAGAAAGACGAGACAAATCCTGCAGTACAAACTGAAGTTGTAGACATTGATAGATATCTAATAAAAAGATTCTGTCTGTGTCTTTGTAGCTTCACATTGACAAGGTTTTAAGCTGTTTCTTAAAAAATGAGCCTAATTCTGCTCCTGAGAGGAAGCAGTTTGTTTTCTTCCCTTGTTGTTGACTGATGGTTGTTCTTGTTGTTGTGATGCAGCCAAGGTGCCGTTCCCTCTGACTCTGCGCTTCAAACCGATGTTACAAAGAGGGGTAGACCTGCTCTCGCTGGATGCTTCCTGGTAAGAGTCACATGAACACTGAAAACACCTCAGTGCATCACTAGGCCATGAACAATGTAAAGAGTCATCTGTTGTAGTGAAAACACCACCAACCGGGTCAGAACGTCTGGTTAGATTCTACACCCAGATTTCTATTCCTAAATTATATCATTTAATTTCACTTGAAATTTATTATTGTACACCAGAAATTTGCAGTGTTATTATATCTGTGTTTTTTGAATATTCAGATGCTAAAATTGAAAACCGATTACCTACCCAAGAAACAAATATCTGAATGTTCAGGTCCAGCCCTAGAGTTTTTATTTTGTTTTCAGGGTGAGTTCAGTGTCCTGGTACTTCCTGAATGTGTTTGGACTGAGGAGCATGTACAGCCTCATACTGGGACAGGACAACGGTGAGTTTTCTTGGTTCTGATGGGTCTGTAGAAAATATGGAATCACTGTCATAGGTTATTTGTAACACGCATGACAGAAATCGAACTAGTGGAAGTTTTGGACCGGATACGAGATGTTTATGCTGAGTTGATGTGTCATAATGTGTGTACATGAAAAAAGGAATTTCAGTCAAAATTACCAGTGTTTTTGTTCTGCACATGCTCATTTGTGTTTCCCCCACTGGCCCCGCCCATGGCTTCCTGCTCACCCTTAGAGTAGGGATGACCGATTTTTGTAGGCCAACCCGGAAGTTAGCAACACCCTGGTTACCTTGACAAAAAGCCAATGAAAATTTTTCCATAGGGTTTTGGATTATTGTGGAAAATAGGCTCTATGACAAACGATTTGATTGATTTGATTTATTTATTCTTTCAAGCATATAAAGACAGTTGATATATCAACACACATAATTTTACACATATCCAACAAATGCTAATCCAATATCAATGTGCTTATACCTAGTACATGCTTGAATGGAGTAGGAAGAAGTCAGACTTATCCAGTCCTACCCCATGACATCATCTTACCATCATTGGTTTGCAAGCAGTATCTCTACATAAATAATTCTCTTCTACACCACACAAGTAATATACTAAAGAATTATTACAAAGTTTTAACATTCATACACCACACCCACAATGTTCCATCTAATTAATCATTAAACCTGTTCTTGCATATATCTTGATTGACACATACCTTTATATTTATGTTTAAACTCATCAATTCTATTACTATTTTTTATGTCCACACTTAAATTATTCCATAGTTTTACCCCACTTATGGAAATACAGAATCTTTTTTTGGTTGTACGTATAGCATGATTTTTTAAATTTAACTGACCCCTTAAATTGTATCCCCCTTCCCTTTCATTAAATAGTTTTTGAATTCCACCAGGTAATAAATTGTTCCTGGCTTTATACATAAACACAGCAGTCTTATATCCCACTAAATCAAAACATTTTAACAATTTAGACTGTATGAAAGCTACATGACATATGACACCTACATGTTTTGGTCAGCAAGTTAATCTTGAAAACCGCTTTATGATGTTTGAAGCCCAGATACAAAAGCTGTTAGGCTATGAATGAACTCCACCACGTACCGTGACTTCAGCGTCACCACCATGACTTCCAACTTGTTATTTGATTTAGTGTACAAAATCCTTTCCTTATAGCGTGACCTGATCTAGCTAGTGATCACGGCTGTGGCCGTTATAAATGCTGAATTTTCTTTATCAGCATGAATCGGCCCATGAAATCATCCTGTCAACGTGTCTGTTGGACTCTTGTGTAATTACTTTTATTTTGATGGTATTTACTGTACAAATAAATTCAAGAGACAAAGTAAAATGGCCAAGAACGAGGCTCCTTGTTTGTCACCTGCTTGTCGCCATCACTGACACGGACACATGGTCAGGGAAACACCGTGGGCTTTGGAACCTTGTGAATGACTAAAACCTTTAGCCATAAAAATGTTAGCAATGACACCAGGTTTCGGGAGACACAGCTGAGCAGTTAAATTTCAAACCCTTTCAGTGCTGTGTAGCTTCTGAACAGGTTGTTTTACATCACATTAGTTCAGTCATGAAATTCAGATGGTTTAATTTCGCTGATTAAAAGTCTTGTCTCTTAGCTGCTGACCAGTCACGGGTCATGCAGGACCAGATGATGGGTGCTGCCTTGGCGATGCCCCCTGACCCCAACAAGGCGTTCAAGGTGAGAAGCTAACACAGCAGAAGTGTGATCTCAGTTTTTTGGTGTTTTGAAAGTGAAGTGGAGAATATTGTTATGGTCATAAGGTTGTTGTTCACACTGAAACATTCAGTTTCAGTCTCAAGATAAATCAGACAGAGCTCATGAGTGGGTTTAACAAGACTCCATAGATACTGTGTGATTAAAATCTACATGTTTACTGCTGTGGCTTAACCTCTGTTTGTTTGCTTGTTTATTTGTTTTGTTTCAGAGTGAGTGGGAGGCACTGGAGATCATGGAGCACAAGTGGGCGCTGGCAAATGTGGAGGATGAGCTGATGTCCAGGGACCTCAACTTTGGATCCTTGTTCAGCCAGGACATCAGGTCCGCTGTGTTCTAGAACATCTGTGGAAGGCTCCAGAATTCTGGTCTCTGTGCTGAAGGTTCTAGAACATGGGACACGCAGGTTCTATGATGGTTCTGAATGTTCTGGAACACAGAATACACATTCTAGAAGTAAGCTGCATCTGAAGTGTCTTTTGTTGTTGTGGAACAACAAATACAGTGTACACGGTGCTGTGGAGAGTAGAGCTGCCCTCAGAGTCGAGAGACCTGTCAGTTGACTGACGTTCTGCTAGTCCAGCCTCTGTTTTTATTATATCATTTAATTTTTTGTCAGCCAGTGTGCATTACAATGGAAGGCAGCCCCAGCCGGTAGTTTGTCATCTTCTTCTCCTCATTTTGGTGCCAAGCAGCAGTTTGCTGAATGCTACAAATACCCACAGCTGTGCCACTGACTGACACATGGATGTACATTAAGGTCGGATCTGTTTAGTAAACTGCAGAATGAGGAGAAAAAGACAACAAACCCAGTAGGACGAGCCGCATAAAGGTGAGATTTGTACTTTATTAGAAGTGTTTTCAAGCATCATGGTCTACGTTTACAAGAACAGACTGTCGCCACAATGTGGCGGATTTTGCATAATGTTATGTGCGTCTGGCTAGTTTGCCCGCAGCACGCAGCTGTTTACTGACTGTTTCTGCGACATGCATCCATCCGAACGGGACTAGGAAGCTCACAAAAATGTGCAGGGGAAACTTTATAGTGGACTATAATTATGATTAGTGCGAGCTGGTGCACATCAAATGCACAGTAACAACATGCGCTGTGTAGATATACTGTATAGTGACTGACAAAGTCACTAGTCGGGTACAGCCCTAGTGGGTAGTATAGTTCTTGGTGCCATATTTCAGCTTTGCTCCTGAGCTGTTAGACTGTCAGTGGAGATGCAACATGGTGTTGTTCACTTATGACTTGTATTGATAACTGACTACACATTGTGTTGTGCACATAAGGGTGAGTTTAGTTGATACATAGATATTTTGTAAAAATGTTCTGGACTCTGCCAAATGAAGGGAAGCTTTAAACATTTGGACAGAAAAACATGAGCTTTCCAGTCAGTCTTATGCTCCTCATTAGCTAATGAAGTTGTGGCTCAGGTCTCACATGTGTATAGTTTTCATCAGGTCAAATAGTTTGTGTCCAGTGTTCCAGAACCCAGAATCCGTCTTTCTTACTGCTCTGAAGGTTCGAGATGAACTTTCACATCTACCCAGCTCCAGGACATTTCCCAGTAGCTCAGCACATTCTGCACCGGCTGTGGTGCTGAATCCTCTCAGGAAACAGAAGCAGCGTTTGAAGACGACTGGGACGCAGCAGTCCGAGGAGCTTTAAGTGACAGCTGACATTATGTTTTCATTCTGCAGGACATTTTGCATGCACCGTGCTTTTCTCCGCTGAGGTCGTCCATCTGATGCAGTTACCCAGAGCCACTTGAAGTCAGTGACTTAAATAAAGTGTCGTTACAACTGCCTGGACTGCTCTCGTCTATCACTTGGTCATAAGCAGCTGCTTGATTCATGAAACTCGGTAAGCACACTGAAGCTGTGTTTGTGGTGACGGGGATTATTTGCACAGGCTAACGTGTGCACGAGGTGGAAGAAAACAAAGTTTAACTTGAATTTTGACTTGAAAACTTGGCTAACAGGACTGAAGGGAGTGCAGCAGGGTACTCTGGGAGATGGAGTCCATAGCTGCTATAACTAAACCTACTGAGATCTTAAGATGTTTGCTTGTAAATTAAGTGGCTTAGATCAGTGCGATAAAGAGTTGGTTTCTGTCCTTTTAGTGACATCCCCACTTTGTCAGATCTCTGCAGTTACATAACCAGCTGAAGCAGGAAAACAGAATCAAAGCTGGAATATAGTGTCAATGACTGTAAGATGCTGTGTTTCTACTGTTGACCTCGTACTTGACACAAAGGATTAGATTATTGAGCAGCTATCTGAGTAGTATAACCAGAGCAGAGACCATTTTTAGCCTTTGGAGCCTCTGGATGGGATTTGTGCAAAATACAAACTAAATCACCGGCTGCATCCTTGTAAAATGAATAACCACAAAAGTGACAAACATCGGGTTTAGAAAGAATGTGACAGAAAATGTCAAAGTAATGAGCCAGAAATGTAAAGACTCAGTCGTCTCGTTGTGGCAGTTATCATCCTTTTATTCATATCAAAAGATTGAAAGTACAATAAAATATTTTCATCTGATATTTGACAGGAAGACTAAAGAAAGAAACCACCCAAGTTCCCCCTCCAGCTCCACCTGGGAATGATAATGCTTTTCTTAAAATACAAAAATACTGTACACTGAGCTGGTTTAAAGGTCACCGAGTGCAGAGAGAAAACTGGGCCTGCGTCTGTCTCTCTGCACAGAATGGAGACGAGCTCACCTGTCAATCTGCTGGATAATCTTATGCCTAAATACAAATTTTATATATAAATATGAAAAATAATCATCTCAATGTCCTGCACCAGTCGATCAATAAAATCATTTAAGAAAGGCCTGTAGTCCTGTGACAGCTGAAATAATTGTTAAAAAAAATAAATACCAGCAGAGAACAACCAAAATATACAAAGACTCATTTCTCATCCTGGCAGCTTCGGTCAGTACTAAATTCTCTCCTCCTGATTACCCACGACTCCCTGCTGCCGTTCCCCCGTCACCTTAATGAGTCTGGGTTGGACAATGAACCATCACAGCAGCTGATCTTTCATTTAAAACCGAAAAGTGTCTCCAGCCTGTTGACGGCCAGTAGAATAGCTGAAGTTAAACGGTTTTTACTTTTGGAAAATTCAGTGTCGGTGTTTGAGAAGCTGGATTTAAAATAGTTTTATGGCGAAAACTACAGGCATTTTTGTGGCACATGAAGAACTGCAGCCTGGACGGTGCCACTGAACACTTACAGGGTTTGACCGGGTTTAATTTGGACTAATCGATAACCCGATCAATTTGTGCTGTACAACTTAATGTCTTTTATCTTATATATTTGACAGCTTTTAGTCTTTTAATTCATAATTTCATTTTAAAATAGAACCACAAAATTCCACTTGATTCTTAATTGTAAAAATGATTTTAGATGTGGATTTTCTTTTACACACATTTGACAGTTTTGTGTTCCCTTAAATCTAAACACAAACGTTAAATGAACCTGCTTCTCTCCACACTGATGTGTTCAAGTTGTCGATCTGCCTAAAGTGTCATTCAAGGAAACATCTGTGAAACAAAGCAACAGTGAAATTCAAACTAAAACAGATGAGTTGGCACAGACTGCGTCTCAGTGGATAATCACTAAACTACAGTTGGTAAATATCCTGTTGGGTTTTGACTGAAGCTGAATCTGTTTCACTGATGGAAAAGCCTTTTCAAATGAATGTGGTTATATTTTAAAATTCAGTTATTAGTTGACCATTCAGGCACAGCATTAAATTACGAATGGGGAAGAAATGATACCGGCTTCTGTGAACTTGGTCAGTAAATATTCAGTGACACGCTCCAGGCTTCATAATCGACTTAATACACTTTCATCCCCCAGTAAAGAGCAGGTTCATTTGTCAGCGTGGACTAAAGCAGATGAACACTGAGCACAGTTGTTTTGTCTATGCCAATCAGAGAAAATGGATTTTACCAGCAGAGGTTTTGAGATGTGAGGTGCAGCTTACAGATGTGCGTGGTTGGTTTCAGTGACTCAGGGAAAATAAACCAAAAAGTACAAATGTCGCTGGGAAGAAGCAACAGCCTAATAAAAGAGGAGGCAGACAGGCCTGCTGTTACCAGATGACCCTAAAGTAAACCAAACTTAGGCTAGGGGTGGCATTTAGTCTGTTTCCATGGTGACATAGGATGAGGCGCCCAGCTCGGCATCGTCATCTGTGCAGGAAGTGATGTCACTGGGGGCAGGCAGTGTGGGTTTTCTGATCTGGTCCTGTCGGTGGTAGAACAGGACGTAGGCAGCGTTGGTCTGCAGAGAGAAGACATTTCAGTATGTCACTGTTCAGCCGCAGCAAACTGCTCCTCTGTCAGTCCTTGTCTCCATTATATAATCAATAACATGCCAGACTACTGAGCATTTCCATCAGCTTCTCAGGGTCAGAGGTGACGTTGTCAACCATTTCATTTTGTCCAGACACGTTCAGGTCACCATCAATCAGTCACAAAGTAGTTGCACCTGCTGTTTCAGCGTCTGTGTTAAAAATGACCAATTTATCAAATAGGTGCCGATTAATTTTCTGTTGAGTTGCAAATTCTTTCAGTGCTATAGTTTATTTCTTTTTAGACTGTCCGTCTGCTATGTTAATTACCAAGCTGCCAAGTCCACAGAGCAGCGTCAGGTCTCCTCTGTCGGAGGAGGAAAGCTCCTCCTCCAGACCAGATCCCCCCCACTGTGTCTGTCCCACTGTGTCGTCCTCATGAAGCCATTCAGTGACCTAGAGCTGCAGCCATGAGTCAGTTCACTGGTAGAAAATGAACCTCAGCTATTTAGAAGCAACAGTCACCGACATGTTCTGGTTCCACCTTCTTTAATGTGAGGAGCTGATGCTTGCTTGGTTTTACGGTCCAGCTTAGACTTAGGCTAGGGATGCACTATGTCACCACAAAGTCCTGTGTGTGTATGTGAGAGATACTGACCACAATCTGGTCCTCTTGGGCGTAGGTCACCTTGCTGTCGTCAAAGTAATACCATTGGCCGTTATCCTTGTTCCTCGCGTAGCTGGTGTCTGTAGGAACATGCACAGAAAACCTGAACATGTTGACCTGTTTCATTCAACATCACCTCTGCTGACGAATACAAGCACCCACAACCCACAGGGCCTTACAGTGTCCGTCTCGGAGTCCTCCGTAATGATTAGAGACAGCGATGAGGTCATAGCAGCTCGGAGGCTCCCCGTCAGACAGGTGTTTCCTCAGGAGGAAGCCAGAGAAGTCCAGGTCTCTGTGAGAGGGACAGAGGGACTAACTGAGCTGAACCAATAGTGTCGGTATGTCCACAAATATGCGTGCACATCTTTATCACATTATGTGGACACATTTTTGTTCGACACCAGTATTATGAGGACGTTTTCTGGTCCCCACCCTCACATAGGGTGGTTTGAGGGTTCAGACCTGGTGGTGGGGTTCAGGTTAAAACCAGGTTTGGGTTAGAGTGAGATGACTGCATTGTGTCACCGAGTGCTGGTGTGTACCTGAGGGGAAACTCCACGATGCTGTCGAGTTTCTCTCTGGTGAACTTGATGTACGAGAACCTCTTGAGGTGGATGATGAGAACCTCGGGCAGAGACCAGAGGTCCAGCTTCTTAGTGGCCAGCTGGTGCTTCTTACACACCGGACAGTACCTGCAAACGCACACACATCATCGTACACCTTCCTCACCCGGTCATCACTAGGAGAGTGTGCGTGTGTTACCTACCATGGGTTCTCCTCCTCCAGTGTTTCCACAGTGGTGAACAGCTCGATACACTCCTGCAGCTGGACCGTGGTCTGCTGCTGAGGAACCTCCATACTAGCATCTTTCACATACTTCTGCACAGGAGGAGAATGGAGAGGGGAACATGTACAGCAGGTGGCTCACATAACCGACATGTTGAGTTTCCATTACATCTGATAAATGACAGAACATGTCAACAGACATGTCTCACTACTGAAGTTATTTTCAAAACTAGTCCAATCAGGGAGTTGTGTGGCGAGTGCAAACCCAAACCCAGGTGCTGCTCGTGGCAGCGACTTTCATAAAAAGTAATGTTAGCAGCACACTTCTAAACGTGTATCGTTCATTCTGTTGAGATGGCCCCTGTGACCAATTCATACCCACACGGCCGACTCAGCTCAGATTCAACTAACCATCTTTCTTTAATATTTCTAAGTGAGGTGAGGTGGTGCTACTTTAAAGCCCAGAACATCCGTTATCTGGACTAAATGCAGTTCCAATGACTGTTTAAATTCAGTACAAGTGAGAAACACGGCACAGGGTGTGCAAAAGAAGCAAAAGTAAACCTTTAAGTAGTCTGTAAACAAAACCACTGACCTCGGCCTCATTTTCGTTGTAGAATCTCTTCTTCATCTCAGGGTCCCAGTCAATGGCCACGTACTGCTGAGCTGCAGACACAAACATGACTGGGCTCAGTGCATGTGAAGGACATAAACATTTAGATCAATACATTTTAAATACAGCACACGTGTGTGGCCTTGTTTTCCTATACTTGTGCAGCCCGAAATCCATGAGTTACTATCTTAGCGGGGACCTGAGACTGGTCCCCACAATGTAGTTTGTCAAGTTTTATGGTACGGTAAGATCAAGTGTCAGCTTTGGTTAAGTGTTGGGGTAAGTCTCCAGGAAATGAAAAGTCTATGTAGGGACCTGGTAAGTGACAAAAACAAGTGTGTGTGTGTGTGTGTGTGTGTGTGTGGACTCACAGCTGAAGGACACGGCGCTCCCTCCCTCTCCCATCACTCTCTCAGTCATCCCGTTGGAGTTGACCGCCTGAATAGTGAACAGACTCTTCCTCCTCTTGCGACACACCCTCCTCTTGGCTGGCTGCTCATTGGCTGGCGGGCTGGGAGAGCATGCCTCCTCCTGCTTGTCTTCTTCTTTTTCTTCTTCTGTGGTCTTGCGGGGCTGCTGCAGCTGTTCTGCTGGGGGGTCTGTGCTGGCATCTGTCTCGGTGGTCCTGCTCGAGTCCCCACAGGGATCCATGTTATCAGTGCTGCTGGTGTTGGCAGCGTTGCCGCTGCACAGGGGCTTGGCCTCGTTCTGCGACCCGTTACTGGTAAAAGAGTTGTCTGGCTCCAGTGATGTCTGTGCGTGGTTGTGATTGGGGTGGGGCTCTGAGGGAGCGGTGCCATCTGATAGGCTGTTTGCTGTGGCATCCCAACAGCAGGGTTCTGTCTGAGAGGGGTCAGCTTTGTCCTCATCCTCCTGCTCCTCACCTGAGAAATAACAGAACCAGTTAGAGAAGCGAAACGTACAAACACTGAGCCTCCAGAGACGTATGTGTAGGTTTGAGTTTCAAATCTAAACCGTTTACTGTCACTTTCTGTGCCTTTCAACCCGCTGAGCCTCCTGATGACACAGTCTGTTGAGTAAAACACTATAATGCTGATTTCAATGTGATAAGTTGAGCTGCTGCTGCAAGAGGAGACAATACCATCACTGATGCCATTGATCTGAGTTTTGTGTAGCTCCTCTTCCTCATCATCTTCCTCCTCCTCCTCCTCCTCTTCCTCCAGCTCCTCAGAGGGGTCAGGAAGTCGCACGTAGCGTCTGCTCTCGTACACACAGAGGGTTAACTCTAAACCAGTTTCAAGCACACAAACTGCACACTGGTACCTATTTAATCATTTAAAGCTGTTGTCATCTTGTTTTTATAATGATGAACATATTGATTCACAGTCTGAGCTGCTCTTGTTTTGTCAGAGGGACAAGTAAAAGGGAAAGGCATCCGTTATACGTTGAACAGGTTTATATACTGTAATACGTTTAAAAGCATCATGATCTTTATGCTTATCACATCGTCTGTCATGTAAACCACTAAGTGTTAGAGTTGGTTTAAGGTTAGCATTAGGTTGAGCAGTGGTGGGTCTCCAGGATGCATGTGTGTGTTCTGCTCACGCCAGTCTCTGCAGGAACAGGGTGTAGAGCGCCTCCTGACTGCAGCTGCTGCGCGGCACACCAAGCAGGAGCGGGTGTCCAAAAAGCGTCGTGCTGTACGAGCTGCTGCCCGAGCCGTAGTCCCTGTAGTGAGAGCGCTCCCGCAGGTAGAGTGCCAGCAGGACATGCTCCTCCTGCTGCTCCTCGGGTGCGCTCAGCTCGTACCTGAACACACAACGAGCACATTACACAATGAGCTCATTACATGCTGTTGCATGGCATGGGGGCTCCTCGGCCGGGCCTCATGGCATCAAAAGGACTTTTCTTACACAAAGATGTCGTCCCGGTCCAGTATGCAGCTCAGAGATTCATCAGCGCTGTAGACCTTATAGAAACGGTGGTTGAACACGTCGGCTACCACCATCTGAAACACACAGTGACGAGGTTAGCCTTCCTGCTCTGACCCTCACGCTGTCGGAGCTCACCATTATGTTCAGTGTGGGCTCAGAATCAGGGTTTGTCGAGGAGAAAGCCACAGAGAGCAGGCTGTGCCGTGAAGGAGTCTAAAATCCAAGCTGGTTTCCCCACAGTCACACCTAGCTGCTGTGACTTGAACAGCTTGATGGGTCTATGTTAATTAGGGCTGAATTGAACTGACAGAAAGTTGACCTGCAACTTTCAAGCTAAATTTCTGGGTTCTTCTGCGGTTCGTCTGCTGCTGCTCTTTGTTAGACCACAGTGAAGTGAATGCCGTGGTGTGTGTTGGTTGGACAACACAAGACAAAACCATGATAAGAATTTTTCACTTTATAGGCCAGGCTACTAACATTTTACTACAACAGAGGATTATTTTCTTTGATTAGTTTCAGTAGAAAATGCCCAAAGTTTCCTAGACTTCAAGGTTCTTGTTACTCAGAAGCAAAACCTCCACATTTTGACGATTAATCAAACATCTAAATAGTTGCTAATTAACTTCCTGTCTAATCGACTCATCACTGCAGCTGTACATTTCACAGTGGAATCCGACCACAGACCTGGGTAGGAGGTACGTCGGTCATCTCTGACAGGGCAGAGCAGAGGTCGGACACTTTTCCTGCCTTGGGAACAACAACACGATGCTGTGGGAACAAACACACACAACAAAACATTTAGATTAGTCACAGCTGTACTAACATTCTAATTTTCCCTGATCCTGTCCTGACAACAAACACACATGCTGCATCAATCACAGTTGAACTGCAGAAGAAAGCATTCGTGTCTGCTGCGAACAGTTACCTGGACAGGTTTGGCACAGGGATCCAGAGAGACGAAGAAGACTTCCATGATGCGTTCTTTGCTAACAGGAAGTGGGACGCTCAGGTAGCAGAAGGGGTCAAAGGTCACCGAGACCTTGTGGCACTCAGGACAGACGAGCGTGGACTTGAAGAGTCCGTGAAATGTGTCGATGATCACAGAGTCATTCCGCCGGCGATGATTACGCCACGCCTCCTCCGCCACTTCCTGTGCGATGGGAAGGACAAAATCAAGCATTTACATTTATTTGAAGCTTTACAACCTCAGAAGTTACTGTAGAAACTAGGAACATCTTTAAGTGACCAAAGTCAGGTGCGGTCGGAGCAGCTTACCTGGTCTGGTCGTCCGTCAGCGTCCCGTAGTTCAATGTACTCCTTGTTTTTGACTCTGTTGAGATCCTCGTGCAGCCCGTCCAGCAGGAAGGAGAGCAGCTCCTGACTGTCATGCTGCTGGTAGCCCAGAAACTGCGATGCAAAGTGACCCACCTTCGTCTGCAAGCGCACACACACACACAAACACACAGGATACACTGACTTCTGGAAAATGCTGTCACAAAACCTGGTCGGATACAGTCAGGACCTAAAGTCTGTGTTTGTGACCATGAACTGGTCTAGGTTTACACGAATGTTCACTCCTAAAACTGACTGGATCACTGCCTCACTGCAGCTGTGCACGTCTGGAGAGCAGGTGACGTGAGCATGTATGTCCTGTAGTCAAATCCATTGTGCTTTATGGTGGTTCTGTCATCTGAGAGCAGAAACGATGTGTTTAGCAAGAAAGTCTAGGTTTAACCTGCCCAAGTCTGTCGCACTGCTGACAGCAAAGAAGCACTGGGTGGAGACAACATCACTTCACAGGTAAACACTATTTGTCCAGCTTAGTGTGGATGTAGCCTTATGGGTAACCACCACCGGTGTCTAGCCACACAGATGTGTCTGGAAACTACTGCCTTGCATCAGGAAAGTTGTTTTGTCCCATTTGCTTCCTGGATCAACACTCCCCGCTGACAAGTCTGACGTGTACTTCACGTGTCAAATGATGCAGCGCTGCCTGATGAAGTGTGCTTTGCACTTTAGAATCAGACCCTGTTCATTTCCTCATGTGTGGCAGCAGGACAGAGCAGAGGTTTACTGTGTATTTGTTACATTTAAACCTGCACCTCCTACTGAAAGCCAACATGAAAAACTCTGGCTTCAGCACTCTTACGAAATTTATTTCTATCTCTATAATACATTTATATTTAGCTTTAGAAATCCTGTCAGTGATTTAGAGAAGGTCTAATGAGAATTTTCCTTTAACTCTATGGAAAGCAGCCTGTTCAACGCTCTGTGTTCAGTTCTGTCTCTAAGTCTGTGGTTTAGTTCCACTTCTCTGTTCCTGTTTGATCTGACAGACTGCAGCACAGCTGAAAATATCATGTGGAAGTGCTGCCACTCGGTGTGTTTGCAGGAAATAACTGATCAAATCTCATGTGTTTAGGGCTGTGGCAACAACTGGATCGAATTTTATATTAGACTAAATAAGCCACGCGCACTTGAGGCTTGAAACTATAAAACAGTGCCACAAAAGCAGCAGCAATTCAAACTAAATCAAGCTCTTCTCCCTTTTTGATGTTGACCCACAAACTCAGGATCCACAGACCGGGGGCCTATTTCAAGAAGGCGGTTTAACAAACTCAGAGTTCAGACCTGAACTCTGAGTTGACTTACTCAGAGTTGGAAAACTCGGAGTTTTCGGTTTCAGAACAGCTGAAAAGAGTTGGTTTAATCAACTCTGAGTTGTTTGACTCAGAGTTAGGCGCGTGCCACGCGACTATAAAAAGCCCTGAACAATGGAGTGAAGAAATTACGAGTCACCATGGCAACAGGACCAAGCCAAAATAGGTCTGCGTTTTTCCCGACAGAAATGGATGTGCTACTACAAGCATATA